GAAAAGGCAAGAAAATGAATTCTCCCCAGTAGTATCCAGAGGAACTCAGGCCTCCCAACACCTTGATTTTAGCCCAGTGAAACTGAGTTTGGGCTTTTGACCTGTAGAACCTTAAAAGAGTAAATTGGTATTTTAGGTTTGTGATAATTTGTTACAGCAACAGTAGAAAACTAATGCAAATCATAACAGGAAAGGTTAGAAAGCAGACATATCTAGAGATACAGCAGAAATTAAAACATTATTAAGATAAAATTATGTACAATTTGAGGCAACATATTAAAAAACTCAAAAAAACAATTTCATAGAAAAATATGTATTACTACAAGTAACTCAAGAAGAAATTGAAAAACTAAACAAATTACATTAAAGTAATTTGATTTTAAATTTAAAAATCCCTATAAAATTAGTGATAGAATTGGAATTTTCAATCTGTATGTGTCCTCAGCACAAAATTAAAAACAAGATACATACTAGAACATAATTGTAAACCATATAACCAAGAAAAGATAACAAATTAAGGCTAGATTGGGAACTCTTACAAATCAATAATGGAAAAAAATAAAAACAGACAAGGTTATAAGACAACTCAAAGAGGAAACAGTGATGGCCGGTGAACACGTAAAACATCAACCTCCCTATTAATCAGAGGAAATTAAATAAAAAGATGTTACCATTTCATTTCTAGATCAGCAAAGTGTATGAAGTCTGATAACATTAAGTGTTGGCAGAGGTATGAGGAGATGGGGACTCATACTTTTTCAGATGGAGAAAAACAGCAATTTAGAGAACAGTTTGCCTCAATTACTAAAGAAGAAAAAATACATACCTAAAAATCCAGCAATTGCAATTCCCAATATCTACGTTAAAGAAATTCAAACATGTAAATGATGATACATTTATAAAGATGCTCACTGCAGCAATTTTAACAACTATAATCAATCAATAGTGGAATGGAAAAATAGTGATTTACTCCTATAATAGGAATACAATGTAGTGATTAAAAGCAAAGAAGTAGGTCTGTACATATTGTTTAGATGACTCTTAAAAACAAAACATTGAATGTAAAAAGCAAGTGGGAAAATGATAACATACCACATGACACCATTTATGAGAAATGTCAAAATACAAATACATTCAGTATATTGTTTGTGATACGTCTCTATAAAGTTAAAAAAAAAATTCTTAATGCATAGAATCTTTCCAATATAGTGGTTACCACACTGGAAAGAAGAAGGAACAGGGGTTACTCTTTTAACTGTGTCTCTGAAATATTTGAGAGATAGAGAGAAGAAAAAGATGAGAGAGAGAGAGAAAGGGAAGATGTATCTATAGAGAGCATATCAAAATTAAATACCTGTTTATTCTCATTGCTGGGTGAAAAGATGTTTGCTATATAATTTTTTGTACTTTTCCACATTACGAAAAAGAAAACCAAACCCATTGCCTTTGAGTCAATTCTGACTCATAGCAACTCTATAGGACCAAGTAGAACTGCCCCATAGGGTTTCTAAGGAGCAGCTGGTGGATTTGAACTGCTGACCTTTTGGTCTGCAGCCATAGCTCTTAACCACTGCACCACCAGGGCTCCACTTTTCCATATAAGAATCATTTAATAAATTTTCAAAAATACATTTTTTTAAAAAAAAATGGGTAGCAATAACCACAGTGTTTACTATCTCAGCCAGGCCACAGAATGGAGAATGGAACCCCTATCACCTACAACTTTGCCAGATGTGTTCCCAAAAGGCCACATAAATACTAATATAAATTCCATTAGAAAAATATTTTAATTTGTTTGTGAATTAATGGAAGTTCAACGTAAAATAAGCTTCCCCCAACTTACACTTTCTCAGTACACCATAAAAAAAAGGGAGAGGGGGAGTCAAACCAGCTGGCTTAGGGCTGGGAGATGTGTCCACAAGATGTCAGTATATGAACTCCCATGGCCACCAAAGGCTGTTTTACTTCCTTTATACGTAGTTTGAAAAGTTGTGTAGAAAGTTTGGAATAGTATTTATGTCTGATTGGAGCAGCTTTCATTGAGCTGAAAAATATAAGGATAAAATGGAATACAATCCCTAGGTTGGAATGCCTGGTCAGCATCTGAGGACAGCCATATAAAGGATATAAGAAGGATAGAAAATAGAAAAGATCTGGGAATCTCGGTGGTGATTCTGTGGCTTACACGGCATGTGTTTGGGGATTTCTATGAAGGAACTAGGGGGCATCTGAGGACAGTTTGGCAAATTACAGCTCAGTTATTCTCATTTGAGTTTCCTTATGGGGCAGTCATACAATTTTTGGAGTTTGATAATTTGACGTAAATTACCTCTCACCAGATGAATTGTCATTTTAAAATGGGACAGACTCTTCAGTCCTGCAGTGTCTAGGGAGGAAAATATTTTTATTTTCGACAACATTTATGTTATTAATAGCCTTGAATATATTTACTGATAGGACAGCATTTTGGGAGAGGTTTTGTCTTCTTGACAGCTATCATAAGAACTGTAGAACTGTACAAAAAAAAATACATGTGCACTCATGGCAATAATTTAGAAGGTGCATGGGTTCTCTAAGATGCATAGTTGCATCTTCTTCCTAGAAATTCTGGTAAAATTAGGCATAGAGTTACATTTTAAACAAATATGACTTTACTGCTGCTATTATTTGCATTCCAAACACACAACTACAGAGATTAGAGAAGCCAGAAGCAACTATAGAGATTAGAGAAGCCAGAAGCCTATTTCAGTATCATTTGTGTGAGCAGATGCTTTGCTGTCATACCAGTTCCCATGGCTTAGTGGGTAAGACTATCTGAAAGACTGGAGGTTTAAGTCCATCCAGAGGACTCGGAAGAAAGATCTGGCAATCTACTTCTGAAAAATCAACCATTGAAAACCCTGTGGAGTCATACAGTTCTACTCTGAAACACACGGGGTTGCCATAAGTTAGAATTCACTCAATGGCAAGCAGTTTTTGGAAACCAAGAATTAGTGAACATTTTTCACCTTAGAATCAGGTTAGAGGCAAGACAGCAATCTAAGCACAAGTGAATGTTTGCTCTCATAGCCATGATGCACAATAAATTTATTCCGATAGGCCCCTCACATCCTACCACAGATTAATTCCTGATCTTGGAAATTTCCTTCCAATGCTTCCTTCCATACTAATCTTTGTGCTTTTCCTTTGCCAGATATAATTACTTGTTAACTTAATCACAAGGAAAGGCAAAACAATGTTTAGGATAGGCCAGATTTTCCAACCTGGTTGTCATAACACATTCAAATTTCATTCACTCATAAAGCACATTTTGGAGTCTCTGTTCCTGTCCTGTCAAGAACACAGAGTGGTACTATTTCAGGAAGGGGAAGCCCTGTCTTTGTGATGATCCTATGGATGCTCTGGGTATTCATGGCCTCCATCTGCTTAGGTGGCAATAATCGCAAACCAGGGAGTCAGCTGCCTGCCAGTACTCAGAGGTGGAAAGGGGCAGAGGAGTACATGTCTCAGATAGCTAGAAGCTCTCTTCCTTGCACGACTCATCTGGTATGTTATTTTGCATCTGTGTCAAAGAACTAACACTGTTTTTGAGATCTTGTCTAGATTTTCTTTTCTAGTTGTCTATTTGCCTTTTAGGTCCCTAGGTGGTGCAAATGGGTTTGCACTTGACTATTAACCTAAAGGTTGATGGTTCAAAAGCATCCAGCGGCACCACAGACAGCTTCCATTAAGATTACATCGAAGACAACTCTGTGGAGCAGTTTTACTCTGTAACACACAGAGCTGCCATGAGTCTGAATGGATTTGACAGCAAGGGGGTTGGTTTCATTTCTCCATTGATCCCTTCTTATTAATCAATCCATTAAAATAGTGAAATCAAATGGAAGATTGATAGCTGCGTTCCACACAACCTAAGAATATACAAAAGTTCAACCACCAAATTCTGTGGTGCTGACATGTGTACTAAGTGCTTGCAGCCTATACACATCACATTTTATAGGAATGGATTCTAGCATTGTGTCAGAGAGATCTGGTATACTTGTTGTGACTTTATTTTACAAATAAAATCCCCAGCCACAGAATTTCACAAGTGAGACTGAACAATTTGTGTCAGTGGGATAGAAAATGTGATACCAGGATACCTCCAGAACACATGATCTGATAAGTACAATTTTAATGTGAAGGCAACAGAAGTGAAAGCGTTGATCCTCTTCAGAATCTAATAAGTAAAACTCAATGTCCTATTTTGAAAGAGTAATATTTTATTCTTATTACAAGGTTACAAAAACATTACTGAATAGGTTCTGCAAGTCAGAAAGACTGAGTTTATGTCATTTGATTTGAAGTAGCTTTATTTATTGTACAACTTAAGTAAAGCCCTGGAACTCAGTAAGAAAGGAGAAAGAGATGCAGTATCGTATTTTTGTTCGCCATCCGTGCGCTTCCCCCCTTCAGAGGTATTTTCATAAGCGCACCAGCAGCATTTTATTTACAGCAACATGTAAAAAAAAATTGACATGGTGGCTGTGCTTATGAAAATACCTCCAGGAAGGAGGGTTTAGTTTGCAAACAAATGTAGAAGATGAGTGTTTTTTGCATGAAAATTAGGTAATTGTTTCAGGTAGAATTGCTTTACTCTGAAAAAGCCATGGATATATGAGTTTCCCCCTTTATTTTATTAGTTTCTGGATGGAGAAGAGTAAATATATGCAAAATGAATGAATAGTAAGTAGATTACAAGAAGGGTCCATGGCTCATATTAGATTCTGTTTTGAGTGAGTTCCCAAAATCATTCCACTGAATAATCCATGTAAACAATTGATTCAATCTTCAGTTCCCCTCAGCTCCAACCCTCAATATTACTTGTTTTCTTCATGTCCTTTATCTGGTATTGCCTAATTTAATTACCAAGGAAAGACAAGTAGGTGAAGTGAAGGTTTGGGGTGAGCCAGATTTTCTTCTCATCTGTTCATAGGCCATGTGGTCTGTACACATAAGAAATCTTACTTCCTGTTTGAGGGAGTAGCATCAGAACCCAAGAACTTCGTGTATACACTGTACAGCACTCAGATACTGAGTTCTGAGCTTGAAGCAGAACAAAACATATTTGTGTAGAGGAATACATGCCACATGCCACTCTCCAGCCTACTGTGGGTGTTGATGGCCTTCATCTACTCTGGTAAGGAAGGTTCCAAACACGGGTAAGAATGTTAAGGATGAAAGGATTGCACACAGCATATGGTACTTTGCATGGACTTAGGGAAAGGGGAATTGGAGAAAAGCAAGTATACTGAAATGTCAATTTGGTTTGTGTTTGGGTCCTCAATTAGTCTAATTCTTATGATATTTTATTCACTACTCCAGAGGATCAATTCTGTCTTCTGATTTTTCCCACAGGATCCATTGTGGCCCAGAAAGTTACTCAAGTCAAGTCAGCTACATCCACGCAAGAGGGGGAGGCCGTCACTCTGGACTGTCTGTACGAAACAAGTGCGACAGTATACTACATTTTCTGGTACAAGCAACTTCCCAGTGGCAAGATCATTTTCCTTATTCATCAGAGTTCTTCTAGCCAGAACGCAGAAGAAGGTCGCTACTCTATAAACTTCCAAAAAGAAGATAAATTTATCAGCCTCATTATTTCAACCTTACAGATGGAAGATTCAGCAAAGTACTTCTGTGCTCTCTGGGAGCTCACAGTGTTTGAAGTGATAGTGAAAGCTGAGCAAAAACCTCAGAGCTCAATAACAGAGAGCACCCTGCTACAGGGTCTGAGCTGCAACACATACCTGCAGATCCCAGACAAGAAATTGTAGTGACTGTGGTTGCTTCACATGTGGTCTGGATGGGAGATTTCATTTTAAGTAAAAGCTCCCTATAGCTCATTTGGAAACAGGTGTCCGGAGTAACATTCTTAAATACATTCTCAATCTTGAATTTCTGACTTAAAATAGATCAGACAGTACATGTGTCAAGTCATCTAATCTTGAAAAAAACTTATCCTATCATAATTTAATTAAAGTGGCAGTTTCACTTACAGACATTCACAGTACAAAACCGGATCTTTTACATCTGGCGTAGCCATGATGATCATTTCTTTAGCCCTTTCCGCTTAGGGTTTTTGTCAGTCAGGTGCAACCAGAGAAGTAGAACCACCATTAGTGATATAGAATAAGAGATTAATTCTAAGGATTAGACCTTATGCAATTGCTGGAGCTGGTGGAGGAGTCTATGCAAAGCTGTTTTCTTTCCATCTGGTATTGAGCCTGAACTTACTATAAGTCAGCTAGACCAACCTTTGAGACGGAAAGCTGGATGTGAACAACAGCATGGGCAAACTGTGACTTGTAAGGCCAATTGGAGCCCAAAAGGACAAACTGAAACTTGTCTGTCTCTTACCTTCTTCAATCTCATAGTGGTGGGTGATGTTTAGGAGAAACTGGTCACATTTGCTGTCATACCACACATTTGGCCCAGGACAAAGAGAAGCCGAAGGAAGAGATCTACCTAGTGGGAGCTGATGAAGTTGTGAGTCACCAACAGGGTGAGCTAGCAGAGATAAGTGACCACATACGTGAGGTGCCACAGTGCCCTGAGGCCTGCACCAACCTGCAGGGCATAAAAAATATGGCTTCCACATCACACCTACCTTCCAAATCTTGCACGAATTTCTCTTGTGGTCAACCCTAATCCAGAACTATGTAGGGAAGCAAATTCTTGGAAATGTATTTCCAGCTTACAGCTTAGGTAAGTGGACACAGCACAAAGCTACCACAGTATATTTCTTGTAACCATGGAATTTCTTTTATCATATGCTCCTCTTTTAACAACACTTAACTTCCAAATAAAGACAATAACAAAATCAGGCTTCTCCCTAACATGGTGCAACTGTTACTTATTCAGTCAAAAACGTGGTAACTGTCTCCCCCAAAGAGTTTACAGAATCTGTTTATCCATCTTTGGGTGATGTTCTTTCCTCTTGTAGTGGAGTCATACTCGCCCTTTGATCTCCTGTAGCTTAACTGCTGAGATATAAGATTAACTTTTATTAGCATATTTTATGTTACTCCAGGTAGGCAAATGTGAGAGGGAGTAAAAAATGGATAATATGTACACATTTATGCAAATATCAAATGAAGATGAAATGTTCATAACTATTAGGGTCCTTGTTTCTGCAAACTGTCATGTGATTGCAGTTGGTTTTTATAACCACCTCTTCCATTACCCAGTCCATAATCCCTTTGCTCTCAGAAAGCACCTTTACTCACTGCTACACTTGATTTACTATAAAATAAGCTCCTTGGTCAGGAGCAGTGCTATGTGGATTATCGTGAAAATGAATAGGAATTCTATAAGTCCACTAGATGTGGTTTCAGCAGAAGAATTTCAGGAATAGATGGAAAATCCATATTCAGATTGTATATTCAAGTGAGAAAAATTCTAGGCAACAGCCAGAGAATGATGATACATGGTGTTTTGGGAAACAACATTTAGAATGATGCCTGAGTTCTCATCAGAAGTAATGGAAGTCAGGAGGTGGAGCTAAGATGGTGGAACAGTCAGACACTTCCTGTGGTCCCTCTTACTACAAAGACATGAAAAAAAAGTGAATTGATCATATACGAAAATCTAGAAGCCCTGAACATCAAAGATGAAGTTGAGGAGTCAGACTGAGCAGCAGGGGGAGGAAAAGACAGTTCAGAAGCAGCAAAGAAGTGCCAGACCTGAGCTAGCCCACACCCTGCTGAGGCAAGCAGTAGTGCTCGGGACACATTTTACCACAGTGGAGAGTCTGGACAGCCCTCTGGAGCCACGGAGAAGCTGTGCTGGGTCTGCAAAAATTAAGTGCAAGCATCTAACCCACCATGCAGGATCAAAATAACCCTTCTCCCTCTGGGACTTCTGTAACAGTGAAGTGCTTCTTTTCCCTTCACCTGCCCTCTCCCCGCTCTGCTCTGGTGCTGGTCCAGCAGTGTTCAGCAGTTGCCGCATCCCTAAGGCCAGAAGTGGGATCTGTAGTGCCCGAGCTAGTTTCCTGGCTTTGGGGAGGGAACAAACAAACAAATGAAAAAACAAACAAAAAAAGAAACCACCAGCTCCCCTGAGCTGGCTGCTCAAGTCTAACCATACCCAAACCACTTTCATGGCTTTAAAACTTTGCCATGCCTCCTAAACTGGAACTCAGGGCAGGCACTTCCCCTTTGCCTAGTCACAGGCATAAGGGGTCCACAGACGTTGAATATTATTTACCCCTGCTGAGACCTGTGTGGGCCCATTCAACATTGTAGGCCCTCACTAGCATAGTACAACAGGGTATATAACTGAAGCCTATTTTCAACTGCAACAGTTAAGGGGGGTGTGGCAGATTTGTGACATCTGACACAAATTTGGCACCCATTAAGCAGGTTCCTCACCCACCCACACCAGGGGCACGACTGGAGGCTTCAATCATTCCACCTAGCCACCCACGACAGGGGTCTGAGAATAAGTGGTGCCTCCCAGTCCTTACAGTCAACAGCATTGGGTGCCCAAAGTCTGGCTGCAAAACTCACCCACCTACGTGATCTTGGGGACAGGGACACACCTCCCACCTCGGCACTCAGGGGCAGCCATCAGCACCCTACCTTGCTCAGCACATAACTACCTACTGCAGCCAGATTACTGTGCCTGCTCCCATCACCCTTATGTAGCCCTGAACATCTGAGACTGTAGGTGAGAGCCTGCACCACGTACTTGGTAATTGATGACCGGGACACCTGAGCTGAATCCACACACGAAAAGTAAACAGACTCCTGGGCTCACATACCTAGTAGCAGCTCTAACTACCTGATGACAGGACGTGAGAGCTTCAAAGATGTCAATAACCGAAGTAGCTCAGAAGCACATCCTATTTGGGCATATCAAAACAAAATAAAGCAAAACAAAAAGCTAGGACACAGTAAGCAAACATACAATAAATAAACATAATAACTTACTGATGGCTCAGAGACAACGGTCAGTATCAAATCACATAAAGAGGCAGACAATGATGGCTCCAGCAAGTGACCAAAGCAAAGAACCAGGAAACTTCCTGGAGTAAGAGAAGGTCTTGGAATTACTTAAGGTAAAATTCAAAAGATTAATATACAGAGCACTTCAAGAGATCAGGCAAAACTCAGACAAAGCCAAGGAACACACAGACAAAGCAATACAGGAATTTAGGAGAGCTATGCAAGAGCAAAATGACAAATGTAACAGGCCGCTAGAATCCATAGAGACAGCAAATAGAAATCCAAAAGATTAATAGTCAAATTTCAGAATTAGACAATTCAATAGAAAGTCATAGGAGCAGAATTGAGACAAGAGAAGTCAGAATTAGTGAGACTGAAAATACAGCACTTGACAACAATTTATTTGAGGAAAAATCAAACAAAAGAATTCAAAAAAAATGAAGATCCCTGAAGAGTTTTGTGGGACTTTATCAAGAGGAATAACCTACAAGTGATTGGAGTACCAGAACAGGGGAGGATAACAAAAAATAGAGAGAGAATTGTTGAAGATTTGCAGGCAGAAAACTTCCCTGATATTGTGAAAGACAAGAGATATCTATTCAAGAAGCTCATCAAACCCCACACAGGGTAGATCCCAAAAGAAAGTCACCAAGACATATTATAATCAAATTTGCTGAAACCAAAGACAAAGAATTTTAAAGAGTGTCTAGGGGTAAACGAAAAGTCATCTACAAAGGAGAGTCCATAAGACTAAGCTCGGACTACTCAGCAGAAACCATGCAGGCAAGAAGGCAATGTGATGTCAAATATAAAGCCTTTAAGGAAAAAAATTGCCAGCCAAGAATTATATATCCACCAAAATTGTTTCTCAAACATGATGGCAAAATTAGGGCATTTCCAGAGAAACAGAACTTTAGGGAATTTGTAAAAACCAAACCAAAATTATAAGAAATACTAAAGGGAGTCCTCAGGCTAGAGAACCAATAATATCAGATAACAACCCAAGACTAGAACACAAAACGGAACAATCAGATATCATCTCAGATAGGGTAGTCATAAAAATAAATCAAAGCTAAATACCGAAAATAGGAAAACAGAGACGTCAATATGTAAAAGATGATAAAATTAAAACAAAAAAGAGGGACTAAATAGTGTAGTCATAGAACTTTCATATGAAGAGTAAGTTAAGGTGATAACAAGAAATAAAAGATGGGTTTAAATTCAGAAAAATGAAGGTAAATTTTGAGGTAACCACAAAGGAAACTAACAAATCTAAACATCCAAAAAAAAAGAAGAAGAAAAACATAAAGATTCAGCAAATGCAGAATCAACAACAATGAAAAAGAAGAAATGACAATACATAAAGAAAAATGACTAGACACAGAAAATTAAGTGGAACAAAAAACTGTTAATACCACACACACAAAAAAAAAAAACATAAAAATGACAGCACTAAACTAAACTCATACTTATCAATAATTACTCAGACTAAAAATAGACTAAATGCACCAATAAAGAGCCAGAGAGTGGCAGAATGGATAAAAAACACCATCCGTCTATATGCTGCCTACAAGAGACACATCTTAGACTCAAATACACAAACAAACTAAAACTCAAAGAATGGAAAAAAATATATCAAGCTAACAACAATCCAAAAAGAGCAGGAGTGGCATTATTAATCTCTGACAAAATAGTCTTTAAAGCAAAATCGACCACAAAGGATAAGGAAGGACACTATATAATGATTAAAGGGTCAATAAACTGAGAGGATATAACCATAATTAATATATACGCACCCAATGACGGGGTCAAAAATACATAAAACA